GATCGGAGGTGCAAGAGGAGTGATGGTCCCCAGAGGGTTGGTTCCCTGCGGGGTTTGCCATCACTGTAACCCTCAAACCGCCCGCGCTACTGCTGGAAGTGGTTCTCATCTGTCCGCCAGAACGAGCCCCAGATCGCGGCAGCGGCAACGGGACTCCGCCCCCTTGCGAGTAGAGGAGCCTGGTTCGCAGCTCCGAGATGGTCATGTTCCCGTAATGAGAACATGACTCATCCACGAAGGCCACCTCAGCTTGCTTGATGCCCAGACACGTGAGGCAGCGATCGTAACCATCACCCGGTGCCAGGTAACGACCGCACCCAGAAACGCACGGGTGAAACGGCATCCTTATAAGGACGATCCGTGGTAGGAGCAGAACGATGTTGTCGCTCGGCTCCGAAGCGAAAAGCTGGTATGCATTGCACCTGCTGCCTTATTATACTCACACTGTGATCAGCGGCAGCTCGATGCAATAATTGCATGCCAATGTGCATTGGCTCGTTTAGTTTACACTCGAAGAAAATTGGTCTATTGAAGCGATATCCCAATTCGTCAGTCGCCGACATGACTCGGAGTGACCAACTGAAAGGGAACTTTCGTTTTTCAGACACATAGGCTACACCCGGCAATGGACGGAACATAAAATATGTTGATTTAATTCTGGAACCGATCCTGGCCAAACCTCCACAGACAGCGCGCGTCCTAAGCGAGATCTAATTCACGGACCAAAAGCGTGTGTAAACTTTATTTAGATCGGGACATATCAACCAGTAATTTAATTTAATTTCCAGTAACGGACAGTAGAAAGTTCAGCAATTAATTGTATGCGATTTATGACAGAATATAATCCCACAACTGATCATTTATTTTTTCCTCATATGTCTCGGTAACAACAATTCAAAACGTTTTTTACTAAATTTCAATATCGCGATAATACCGTATACCGTGATAAAAGCATTAGCAATTAATCACAACATGAAAATTTGATACCGGCATATCCCTAATATATATATATATATATATATATTAATTTCGTTAACGAAATTAACACTAGTGTGAACAGTAAATATTTTATAAGTTCAGCATAAAATCTCATCTCAAATGAGAAGCTGATGATTGTGGTAATCTTTATAGACACTGAATAGCATTTGTCAGCAATATGGTGTGAATACTTGCCTCTGATTCAAAGTAGCCATACATCCTGGAAGGCCCATCTGGGTGTGATGAAGGGTGACCCTTGGCCCAGTTTATGTAGGTGACACCTTTACCATCGGTCCACAAAAATCTCATCTCCCAATTGACATCATTAAATCCAGTCCATACATCATCATCTGAACCAAGCATTAGAGTAGTAAGGAATGCTGGAAACAGAAAAAAATGTAGATTTACACACAGGTGACACAGAGTAACACAGATGACAACGATGATGAGTTTTGTGTTTATTCAGACATGTATATATATATACATGGCCCTGGTTCGAGCCCCGGCAAGGACAGGAGGCCTTTCTGTGTGGAGTTTGCATGTTCTCCCTTTGTCTGCGTGGGTTTACTCCAGGTGCTCCAGTTTCCGCCCAAAGACATGCAGGTTAGGCTAACTGAGCATTCTAAACTGTCCCCGGATGTGTGTGTAAAGACAAGACCTGTGTATGGATCGACTTGTGTATGGATTAACTGGTTCTCGCCATGAATATAGCCATAGATGCTGGATTGGTGTTAAGAAAGAAATAAACAAACAAACTATATATACTAAAAAGGCAGCTAGAAGCAGGAAATATCAATGCTCACTCATTTGTGCGAATTTTATGGTCATTGTGCATGTGCGGCAACAGTAGATGTGGAATAGGCCCAGCAGTGTGTTTCTAAGCCATCTTCTGAATCAAATGCGTATCACTAGATCATTATTAAGATAAAAACAGTTTCTTTATAACACCTTTTCAGGTAGAATTTTCACAGCGAAGCAATCCTTCCAGCAGGCCTAGTTTTACGGAAGTGATAGAGGTAAGCAGTTTCAGTTGAAGCCGTAACAATAACATATTGGTGAAACAGATTTGCCAATGAGTAGTGCACACATTTGTGTTTGCGCTCTGGGGAGTGTCAAAGTTTTCTATTTCCTGTGTGTTTTGCCTTGCGTAATGTAACCAATCACAGACATATCTGTTTAATGTCATGAATGCAATGGCCAATCAGAGGCATTGAAGTTAGACTCCACTCACTGCTCAAATTCCAGTGGATTTTGTCCAGCTACCGATGCGATGCGATACGATTCGGTACGATTAACCCGTTACGATGCAGTGCGATCCGATTTCGATTCGATTCGATTCTTCGATGCAATACGATGCAATGGAAAAATTATGATCACTTTTAATGCCTCAAGGCCTGTTTCATAAGGCTTATTTCAGTTAGTCTGACTCATTGTCAAATTATTTAGTTCTATAAAGCAAATTTAACATGGGCCTAGATCAAGCTGGTCTAAAGCAGGTTAACTGTCAGACTAAGCGGAGTTCCTCTAACACTGACCAATAGGAACCCAATTATATTACTACTCTCTCACATACTATTATTTGACTTCTTTTTTTTTTTTTTTTTTACAGTTTCTAGCCATGCAGCCTTTCTCTCTGGTTTTATGACAGCTGTACCTTTTATAGTTTGCAGAACAGATAGCAGAACATTAGAACATTACAATCTAAAATTGCTCTTTAAAGCATTAAAATAACTAAATTAAAAGTTAAAATCACTGAATTAAAAATGAAAATAAATAATAAAGAATATGACTATATTTAAACTGCTATAAGAAACACACATTAACTCATTTGAGCTTAGTAATTAGTACTGAACTAGCTTACATTTGATTTACCTATTACAATAGTCCCTTTACAGTTACTGCTATCATAAAAATACACTTATATGTAGGTTTAAAATTCTACAAAAGAAACATGTAATGTCCAACAACAAATATTTTAGCTAAATGTATATTTTACTCAGAATTATTGCGCTCCTATTCGATTGCGCTCTGCTTGTTCAGCGTGCATGCGCGCAGCAGCGCTCGTTCACTCACGTCAGCCTCGCCCACTCCTGACAGCAAAATGAATATGTTTGCGTGACTTTCTGACATTTACAGATAAAAAAATATATACCTGGTGACATGTCAGTTATGCACTGAGGAAAACACAACGTCTCAAATGCATTAAACAGCACAGATATATTCGCTGTTTGCGATGGTGGATCGATTTGATCCATGATCGACATTAAAGTCGGCATGAAACGGAAGTTGCGATTGTCTTTTCTTCTCTACTGTGACGTATATCCGTGTGAAACGGCATCTGAAATGAGAGGGCGGGACTTGATTTCCTCCTTCGGAAATTGATTGGATCTTTGGAAGTTGGGACGTTGCCAACAAAATGGAGGCAGATCTAAGATGCCAGTTTGCAGTTAGTGGTGGGGGTTTTCTCTCCACTGGATTCACCGCCGACACCCAAGCAAGAATAAATGTTTTATTTATTAAGGATGACTACAATGATCAATGGCACAAAACAGAGAGAGAGAGACTGAGCCATCAAGAGATCAAGAGACTCCATCAAGTTAACGAGAGAGAGAGAGACTGAGCCATCAAGAGATTGAGACTCCATCAAGTTAAAGGCACAATATGTACGTTTTCACAGCTATGAGGGTGCATATTCAAAACAAATAGCAGCGCCGTTTTATCATACTAGATGCATTTGAAAGTTCTGTTATAATGCTACTCTGTGCAGTCGTCACCCGTCTAATAAAATGCATAACATATTAAAGCGTCTTTGGCGTTTCCATGTTTTCTAAAAAACAAAACCGGAAATCGAGGGTGTATGGTGCTTTTAAGGCATATTCATGAAAAAAAAAAATAGTTTGCGATGTCCTAAGAGTAATGTGTAATATCCTAATATCTTTTCAATGTTTAAGGGTAACTACTCCCTCATGACTGGTGTCAGTGCTATAAAGTGAAGCATCAGCTTCAGCTTTTCCCCTCAAACGTCACTGATGTCATTGCAGCTGTTGGCAGTTCCAGATAGCGCCGCCCTTGCGCCATAGCTCGTGACCGGAAGAGTAGAGGAGTCGTTTTGAGGGGGAGGGGAGGTTAACGTTTTTGATTAAAGATTACGAGGGCACATGAATTTTTTTAAAATAATGAAGTGCAAGGATAAATGATTTATAATGAACACTACAGTATTCCATCAAAAATAAGAATTGTCAATTTTGATTTCATGCCGACTTTAAGGGCTGCTTAAGAATAAGCATGCACAAATGAGTGAGACTGTGTGAACTTAATTTGTCATTTATGGAACCGCTTTAGCCCCGATTGATTTGTTAGGTTATTTCAAGTCAGGTTTTGGACTTTAATCCCCGCTTTTCCTCGGGTTTCCGTAGTGTTGTGATGCGTCACAATCACGCAGCAGCAGTGATGAGAGAACGCACTTGAGAAACAGTTTAGAGAGGAGAAATCAATCTACATATAAAATATTGGTCACAGATTATTGGTCACTTTCTAAACAATAAAAGTATAGCGCATCCACAAGTAATTATATATTAATAAATCGGCTTTTACCGATGCAAATATGTTAGAAACGATGCATCGCGATATAAATGCCAACTGGTAGCCGATGCACACTTTTTAAACCGATGCATTGCATCGTTAACTTTTTATGGCGATGCACCGAGCGAATCGGGGAATCTTCCCATCCCTAATGCCTATGCAACAAATACACTGCTGGAAAATAATTTGTATTCTATAATATTTAGCCTATATTAATGATAATTTTATGATTGGTTTATATACTACAAACACTTTTTCTATTTTTATAACAGAATAAGGCAGAAAATATATTTTATAGTATTCTGTACTGTAATAAATAAAATTTCAGTTAGCACTGTATCATTCATATACAGTGCCTTGCGAAAATATTCATAACCCTTCATTTTTTTCACATTTTGTTATGTTGCTGCCTTATGCTAAACTGCTTTAAATTACTTTTTTCCCACATCAATCTACACTCCATACACCATAATGGTAAAGGAAAAAACTGTTTTTTAACATCTTTGCAAATTTATTAAAAAAAAAAAACTTAAATTATTCCATTGCATAAGTATCTGGGACAGCTGAAATTTAGCTCAGGAGCATTCAAATTGCTTGTAGATGTTACTACACTTCAAGTGAAGTTAACATGTGGCAAATTCAATTGAATGGGTATGATTAGGAAAGGCACACACATCTTAATAAAAGGTCTAACAGCTGATAATGCATATCAGAGCAAAAACCAAGCCCTGAGGTCAAAAGAACTGCCTGTAGAGCTCAGAGACAGGTTTGTGTCAAGCCACACATCTGGGGAAGATTTCAGAAAAGAAATCTGCTTCATTGAAGGGTCACAGAAGCATGTAGTCTCTGTTACCCTTAATGGAAGAAGTTTGAAACAACCAGGACTCTTCCTAGAGCTGGCCTCCTGGCCAAACTGAGCAATTGATTGAGAAGGGTCTTGGTTAGAGTGGTGACCAAGACCATGATGGTCACTCTAGTTGAGCTCCATGATCATATATACAGATGGGAGAAATCTAGAGAAGGACAAATATGACTGCAACACTCCACCGATCTGGGCTTTATGTCGGAGTGGCCAGACTCAGACATGAAAACACACTTGGATTTTGCATAAAAACACCTAAAGGACTCTCAGACTCTAGAACAAGAGTCTCTGGTCTGATGAACCTCAATTCCAAGCATCATGTTTGAAGGAAACCAGGCACTCACTGCTCATCACCTGAAGAGTACCACTCCAAAAGTAAAGTGTGCTGGTAGCAGCCTCATGCTGTGGGGCTGTTTTTCAGTGGCAGGGACTGAGGGACTCGTTAGAGTAGAAGAAACGCTCAGTGCAGCAAAATATAGAGATAGCCTTAATGAAAACCCAGTCCAGAGCATTCAGAACCTCAGACTGGGCAGAAGGTTTACCTTCCAACAGGACAATGAACCTAAGCACACAGCAAGAGTGGCTTATAGACAACTCTGGCCCAGCCAGAGCATGAGCTTAAACCCAAGCAAATAATTCTGGAGAAACTTGAAAATGTGAATTTGCTCCCATCCAACCTGACAGAGCTTGAGAGGTGAAGAGGTGAGGAGAAGAATGGCAGATAATTGCCAAATGATGATGATCAAAGCTTGTCGCATTAAACAAAAAAGACTTGATACTCTGTTTTTGCTTTGTCAGTATGGTGTATGGAGTGTAGATTGATGTGGAAAAAAAGTAATTTAAAGCAGTTTAAGATAAGGCAGCAACATAACAAAATGTGAAAAAATGAATGGGGTGTGAATACTTTCGCAAGGCATTGTACTTTATTTAGTACCT